GTCTTGACCAGGACCACACCCCTAAATGCATTGAAGCAACTGCCATGTGATTGGTTGATTAGATAATTGCATTAATGAGAAATTGAACTGGTGTTCCTAATAATCCTTTAGGGGAGTGTATATCCAGCCCTTGATATTGCTTATTCACCTTCTAAGTATTAATAAGCTATTGTGTCTACTTTTAGAATTTGCTTCATGAATTGTAGATGAATGCATGCACAGTTTACCTCTGTGATTGTGGTGGTCATTATGAAGTGTTGTGCTGGGGTGTGTGTATGGAAGGAGTCATTGTTTTTATTCTGTTAACCATGGCTTTTTTTTTTTATATTAGCGGTCACTTGAACGAGTATGACTGTCCTCTTTGTATGGTTATCTACATGTGGGTCTTTAGGTGGCTGTATAGGCCAATCCGCGATCCACATATTTTGGTGCAGTGTGGCCAGGGGAAAGTAGAGATGGTGAGTAGTGATGGAGCCTTTTTCTTTAGATCCTTTCGGATTTGTCGCTTTACTTCTGTGGCACGGCGGAGTTCAGTTTCGTGGTGTGTCACACCTCCCTGAACTGCTTTTCTCTAGCATTGTATGTCCATAGCCAGATCCTCCCAGTTACTCAGTTATGTTGAACTAAAATTTGCCTTGATGTTGTCTTTGAAGCATTTTTTTGGCCATCCGTGGGCTCGCTGACCTTCTTTTAGCTGGGAGTACAAAATCTGTTAGGTAGACGGGTGTCGGGCATGCGGATGACATGGCCTGTCCAGCAGAGTTGGTGCTGCATTATGGTGGTTGTGATACTGGGCATATTTGCCTCCTCCAGAATGCTGATGTTGGTGCGTTTGTCCTCCAGTTGATCTTTAAAATTTTTCGCAGGGACCTTTGATGGAATTGTTCCAAGGCTCTTAGATATCTGCTGTACATGGTCCATGTTTCTGCTCCATACAGCAGAGAAGGGAGGACTACAGCTTTATAGACCAGGAGTTTTGTTTGTCGTCGAAGATTCTTGTTCTGAGTCTGGCATAGGCTCCACTCGCACAGCTCAGGCGATGATTAACCTCAGAGTCTACTTCAGCTTTGGAGGAGAGCAGACTGCCAAGGTAGGGGAAGTGATCCACATTTTCTAGTGTAGTATTGTGAACTTTAATGGTGGGCTGGATTAAAGGCTGGTTGGGCAACGGTAGGAACAGGACCTGTGTCTTCTTGATGTTTAAGGCCAGACCCAGGGCACTGTATGAGCAAAGGCATTCAGAATGCCCTGGAGTTCTTCTGGGGAGTGTGATACAATGGCATTATCATCTGCATATTGAAGCTCCATAATAGTGGTGTTTCTGATTTTACTCTTGGCTTTGAACCTGTTAAGGTTGAACAGCCTACCATCTGTTCTATAGAGGATCGGGATTCCCTGTGGCAGTTCTTGGCCAATAAGGTGGAGTATGGCTGCAATGAAGATGGCAAACAGATTGGGTGCAATGATGCAGCCCTGTTTAACTCCTGTCTTTACCGAGAAAGGCTCAGATGTAGAACCACCATTGCTGAGCACAGTGGCTGACATGCCATCGTGCAAAAGCCTTAGTATACAGATGTATTTATCATGGTATCCAAACCTTGAAAGTATGCTCCATAGAGCCTGACGGCCAACAGAGTCAAAGGCCTTCGTCAGATCTATGAAGGCCATGTACAGAGGCAGCTTTTGTTCACGGCATTTTTCTTGTAGCTGACGGGCGGTGAAGATTATGTCTATTGTTCCTCTGGATGGGCGGAAACCACATTGTGATTCTGGGAGTAAATCCTCAGACAGTGGAAGCAGGCGGGAGGCAAGGACACGAGCAAGGACTTTGCCTGTTGTTGACAGGAGTGAGATGCCCCTGTAGTTTCCACATTCAGCTTTGTCCCCTTTCTTGAATATGGTGACAATCTGGGCATCCTGGAGCTCTGAAGGGAGTTCCTCTCTTTCCCAGACCTTAAGAAGCAGCTGATGTATGTGGTGCCAGAGCTTTGTTCCTCCTTCCTTTACGATTTCTGTGGGGATCCTATCAGGACCAGCAGCCTTGTTGTTCTTTAGGCTCCTAATGGCATTAACAACCTCAGTTTTGGTGGGAGGTTCCCCCAGGTCTTCTCTGGTGGGTTTTTGGGGGATCCGGCTCACAATGTCTGAAGCAGCTGAGCTGTCACGATTCAAAAGCTCTTGAAAATGGTCTTTCCAGCGTGCATTTATGGCTAAATTGTCTTTTAAAAGCATCTGCCCATCATTTGAGTGCAGGGGATTTAAGCCGTGGGTGCTGGGGCCATAAGCAGCTTTTGTGGCTCTGAAAAATCCCCTTGTGTCGCCAGAGTCTGCAAGTCTCTGGAGTTCTAGAGCCTTTTCAGTCCACCAGATGTTCTTTAGCTCTTTCACCTGTCTCTGAACTTTAGCCTTAGCCCTGGAGTGAACTACCCTTTTGGCCTTGCTTGTTGGATCATTTTGCCAGGCCCGGAAGGCTTTTAGTTTTTTTGAGATAAGATGTTCATTCTCTGTGTCGTGCTCATCAAACCAGTTTTGGTGTTTTCTGTACTTCACATGAGTCAAGGATGGTGGATTTCAGAAGGCACCAGTGCTTTTTGATGTTATCAGGATATTCTTGCTGAAGGCTTTCCGCAAGTCAGTCCTGGAGTTGCTGCTGGATGGCAGTGTCCTTTAGGCTGTCAAGATTCAGTCTTCGTTGGGCCTGCTTCCTTTGAATCCTCCTTGTTTTCCTAAGTTTGATGGACATTGTGGATCGAATGAGGAGATGGTCTGTCCAGCAGTTGTCAGAGTTGATCATAGCCCTTGTGATGTTCACATCACGGCGATCGCTGGCTCTTACAATGACATAGTCAATGAGATGCCATTGCTTGGAGCGGGGGTGTCTCCAAGATGTCTTGAGTTTGTTTTTCTGCCGAAACAGGGTGTTGGTAATTATGAAGTTGTGCTGAGTGCATTTACTTAGAAGCAGCACTCCATTTGAGTTTGTTCCCTAAACCTTCCTTGCCAATATTGCCTTTCCAGAGATTTTGATCCCGGCCGACCCTGGCGTTGAAGTCCCCGAGGAGGATGATCTAATCCTCCCTGGGGATTTTAGACAGGATTTGCTCTAGGCAGGCATAGAAGGCCTCTTTTTCTTCTACATCAGAGTCTAAGGTGGGAGCATAAGCGCTTATTAGTCGCCATCTGGTTGTTGGTCAGAGCCAGACGGATGGTCATAAGGTGCTTGCTGATCCCCACGGGAAGCTCAGAGAGGTGGCTGACAAGCTGGTTCTTGAAGGCAAATCCAACCCCATGGATCCTAGGCTCATCAGAGTGTTTTCCCTTCCAGAAGAAAGTGTAGCTTCCCTTCTCCTCCCTCAATTGCCCTTTGTCTGCCCGTCGGGCTTCAGACAGGGCTGCTATGTCAATCTGGCATCTTCGTAGTTCTTTAGCGATGATGGCGGTTCGTCTCTCAGGTCTATCACTGGAGGTGTAGTCCATCAGTGTGCGCACATTCCAGGCTCCAAAGTTGATTATTCTTTGTTTCTGACCACAGTATGGTGTCCCTCTGGACGCGGTAATCCAGTTGGGTGGTGTAAGGCAAGCTATTTTTAGGGTACCTTTTCTAGCCTCTTCCCCATGTGGGGGTAAGCAGAGTGGATCCTAAATAGGGCTGCTCAGTCATGGGTGCAGCTGCCGAAGGACTCTTTTGCCTTGGTCCAAGAGCCCAGCAACTGTATCTAGCACCCATCGACTAATGTGCCAGCTTGTGACTAGGGGCTTCCAGATTACACAAACCTGACCCTGTCGCCATTTGCTGATCGCCATAGGACTTTGATCCTAGATGTAAGGGATTCCCTTTTGTGGAGGACGCTTCTGCATGGAATTGTTTAATGTGGGGAGACTGGTGCACCGACAGCCACTGCAAGGTCCTTGGCAGGTCTGGGGCAGGATCCAGTGGCATAGAATCCAAGACGACTGGGGACCCATCTCTGCTGCAGCCTTCATCCGCCTTTCCAGCTGTTGTGATGCTCCCCACAGGTCAGCCATCATCATCCGCCTGTTCTGCCGTTGAGGTCTTTTGCTTTTCTGTTGGGGTGTGCTCCCTTAGCCGTGCCTAAACTAGGCTAAACCACAAGGCAGTGGGGCTATTTACCCATAGTTGGGGCAGTGGTTGGCTGGTGTCAGGACGTGTCCACCCCATGGTGGGCCTGAACACCGCACCTCTGGGGCCCACTGCTGCTCCGAGATCCCCAACAGTTCGACCTGGGTCTGCAGGGGCCCAGTTACCATGTGTGGCCGTGAGGAGGCACTGTAGGAGTCTTGGCAGTGGAGAGGCTATGTACCATCAGGAGGAGACTTACGCACTTGGCTCCTCTTTGCCCTAGCAGAGCGGGCTAGCTGGTGGCAGAAACTGCAAGCAGAAGCAGCATGCAGCGTGCAGCATGCACTAACTACAAGCACTACTACTAGCACTACTGCACTGACACATCACACATGCCCTGTGCCATAGGCACACACCCACTAACCATGGCTACCTGCAAGGAAACACATGCAGTCATTGCATTTCACAAAAAGGGCTTCACAGGCAAGGATATTGCTGCTAGTAAGATTGCACCTAAATCAATCATTTATTGGATCATCAAGAATATCAAGGAGAGAGGTTCGATTGTTATGAAGAAGGCTTCAGGACACCCAGGAAAGTCCAGCAATCACCAGGACCATCTCCTACAGTTGATTCAGCTGTGGGATTGGGGCAGCACCAGTGCAGAGCTTGCTCAGGAATGGCAGCAGGCAGGTGTCAGTGCATCTGCATGTGCAGTGAGGTGAAGACTTTTGGAGGATGGCCTTGTGTCAAGAAGGGCAGCAAAGAAGCCACTTTTCCCCAAGAAAAATATCATATCATTGTTGGAGAAAAAAAGGTGAGTGCTACCATCAGTCCTGTGTCATGCCAATAGTAAAGCATCCTGAGACCATTCATGCGTGGGGCTGCTTCTCAACCAAGGGAGTGGGCTCACTCGCAATATTGCCTAAGGACACAGCCATGAATAAAGAATGGTACCAAAACATCCTCCCAGAACAACTTCCCCCAGCCAGCCAAGAACAGTTTGGTGACAAACAATACCTTTTCCAGCATGATGGAGCTCCATGCCATAAGGCAAAAATGATAACTTAGCTCAAGGAACAAAGCATCAACATTTTGGGTCCATGGCCAGGAAACTCCCCAGATCTTAATCCCATAAAACTTGTGGTAAATCCTAAAGTGGCGGGTGGACAAACAAAAACCCACAAATTCTGACAAACTCCAAGCATTGATTATGCAAGAATGGGCTGCCATCAATCAAGATTCAGCCCAGAAGTTGATTGACAGTATGGCAGGGTAGTTGCGTAAACTAAATGTATTTGTCAGTAAAAGCCTTTGACACTTATGAAATGCTTGTAATACTTCAGTATACCATAGAAACATGGCAAAAAGATCTACAAACACTGAAGCAAACTTTGCGAAAATTAATACAGTGGTACCTCAGAACTCGAATTTAATCCATTCAGAACTCTGGATCAAATCCTAAAAAGTTAGAGTTCTGATCGACTTTTCCTCATAAGAAATAATGGAAAACCAATTAATTGGTTCCCGGCCCCGAAAAAATTACACTGAAATATGTTTTTTTTTAGCATTTAAACACAAAATGAACCGGACAAAACAAGAAAAGCATATACTGCACTAAACACATCTAAGCACATTTATCAAAACAGTAATTTTTAAGTAAGAAAAGAAATGTATCTAAACAATGTTTTTTTTAACTTTACACAATGTGTCATGCTCAGATCGTCCGCTCCTTCCGTGTGCCACACCCCCTCGTTAACCCCGTGTGGAATCCCCGTGTGATCAGCTATTTCTGATTGTTGTCATTAGTCCTCTGTATTTAGTCCGTGTTTCAGTTTGTTTCCCCAGTCCGGTCATTGTATTTTCCTTCTGCGTTTTGCCTGCCTTACTTGTAATTAAACCCCGTATTCCCTGATACCCTGACGTCTGCGCCTTTGTCTCCGTTCAATATTATTATAATTAAATGTATTAATGGTTTATTATTAATATTAAAGTAATCTTTATTTTTAAATGTATTTTATTATATAATAATAATAATTACTGTTACTGTCCATCTGTCACACTTCGGCAAGCAGGCGAGCGGGGAAGCAGCAGAGTAAGCCGGGAATACTCGAAAGGGGTTTTATTCGGGGCTGACAACAGGCAAACAAGACACAGCATGACACCACAATGACGGATCTGACGAGACGTACTCAGACGTAGACTAAATACACAGGAAAGAGCAAACGAAACAAGGCACAGGTGTTGACAATCCGGGAATCACACGAGGTAACGAGGTGGGCATGGCACACCCGAGGATCGGACGGAGCTGGGTGTGACACTATCATTGTCTAAATGTATTTTTACTGTCTAAATATATGTATTCAGCTAGTGTAAACATGCACGATGTTATCACAGCGAATGTGAGGCTGAGACTGAAGCTTTACCCTTTGTTTCCGCTGAGAGATATGCCGCGTGACTCATTTCCCCGCACGTACAAGTTATCTTAGGTCGGCGTTCACGATTTGACTTCTGAGATTCAGATCGAGTTATAGGTCATTTTTTTTTCAAACTGGTTGGTTCGACTTTTTTAATGAGGTACCACTGTATTTGTGTCATTCTCCAAACTTTTAGCTACGACTGTAAACAGTTCAGTAATTTAATTTGTATAGTACTGTAATTTGAAAAGCGTTTGAAACAGCTGTACTCTATTTTGAAAGTGTCAATAAAATTCACTAAATAGCGACGCTGTCTGTTTAATTACCTTATATTCGTGTAATAAATGTCAATTGGATGGTAATCTGCCCAAGACAGAAAGAAAAAAGGAAAAAACGGTTATAATGATTATCCACCTATAGTGATCAGTTTCACCTAGACAGATGTAATCACTATACTGTAAATGGCTTCCACTGTATTAAGAAGTGGATAAATTCAGGAAGGACACCACTGAAGGCCTAGGTTTGAAATTCACGGCCCGCCACTGCATTTATGTCATGTCAGGGTAATTATAATGGCTCACATAAAGTGTCTTATAGCCATAACTGTCACCCCCACAGGGGCGGGGCAGCACAGTGGCTAGCATTTGCCACAATTCCACCACACTATTTAAACCCAAAGTGAACTTCTGCAAGTTGCAAAGTATTGTTGCCATGGTTATGACATCTACTGAGCTTTTCTTTGTCTCGTGTCTTCCCCGCTTGCCCTGCCTGCCTTGTCATGCCCTACTGTCTCGCCTGCTCTGCTTCCCTGGTCGATCCTGCCTCCCTGCCCGGTCCTGCCTGCCATGCCTGCCCGGTCTACCTGCATCCTCTCTCCTGTCCCATCGTCTCCACATCCCATCTCTGCCTGTAGGACTGATCTTTCCGGCTTTAGACCTCCTGCGATCGACCCGACTACTTGCTTGGATTTCCCCTTTGCTTTTTGGTGCACTCGGCTTTTTTTCCAATAGACCCTTCTCCCGCATTACGGGGTCTGCCTCTTCTCTGGTGCCAATACACCACAGTAACTTTTAGAACTCAATAATAAATTTACATAGATTGTTACAAATGTTACAAACACTGATTATTGCGAATATAATCACTTAAATGTAGTGCTCACGCAAAAGCACACATGCATGCACACGTCTTATTTTTGTACCATGTTTTATGTATTTGAACTGCAGTCTTTTTCACAGGCAGCACATGAAGTGCTTATGTCCAAAGTGCACTGTGGCATTTTTTATAATGGCTGATGAATTTCAACTTACATTCTTTAACATGTTAGTTCAAACTACCATTATTTCGTTCTTACTTTTGTGACAAATTTATAATGCATATATCGTGCTTATGTTACGTCAGGGTAATTATAATGGCACACTAAATTTGTCATTTAACTTCTTCTTCTTAACTTTCGCAGACTTCAGGAATACTAGGGTTAACAGAAATGCTTTCAAAGTGATTGTACTACAGAGAGAAATAACGTTGCATGGATATTTCCTGTTACAGGTACTGCCCACATTTCTCTTGCACTGTCTAGTTTTACGAACACACAGAATGGGTTTTTGCTGTGAATGTTTATTTTTACCCTGTAGAAACTCATGTTGAATTTTCTTTGCACTTCTGTTTGCACTGAGCAGGAAAAAAATTCTCAGGTTTGATAGGTCATGATACAGGTAAAAATCTCAATACAAGACAAAACGAAAACACTACCAAAGACACGGCAGCTGAAAATAATTCCAATTTATACATCTTTCCACAAAAGTACTGGATTAGTGAACTTAATAATTAACAAACACCTGAAGAAAAAAAACATTGCGCTATATTTTCATACTATCTTGCATTTACTTACTGCATCAACTTACAATATAGCTAATTACCTTATCTTAGGTATGGCCAGCTATAGTCCCAACCTTTCTGATTTTTAACCTTCTGACCAAAGTATCCTTAATTTCTTTGGTTTTGAAGCAGTATATCAGAGGGTTCACAATGGGGGGAAAGAGGCTGTACAGCATGATCATCAGGATGCGCACATCTGTGCTGATCTTCAGGTTTATGGTGTTTGCAATATAAACGAAACACCGGGGGAGGTAATAGAGGCCTATGATGAATAGCTGTGGACTGCAGGTGGAGAAGGTTTTGTGCCGTCCCTCTGAGTCTGCAATTTTTAAAACTGAGATAATGATTGAGATGTAAGAAAATATTATAAAAGCAAGTGGACCTAACAATATAATCATGGCTTCAACAAAAGCTGTCATTTGAACATTATTTACATTGACACATGCTAGGTTGGTTATCTGGAAATGGTCACAGTAGCACTGTACAATGATGTTAGAGTTGCAGTAGGGCAAAGTGACTGAGCGAATAAGTATGATGACCATCCACATAAATGAAAATAGCCAGGATATGCTGCACAGGGTCAGAATGGTGGAATTTTTAATAAGCATTTGGTATCTGAGGGGGTTGCATATGGCAACATAACGATCAAGAGCCATTATCATCATCAGCAGTGAATTGCAGTGTCCTAATAAATGTATAATAAACATCTGTAAAAAACAGGCAGGGAAAGAGATGATCTTGTCCTCTGCCAAGTACCGGGAAATAACTTTGGGCAAGGTGGTGGTGGCAAAGATTAGGTCTGACACAGCCAGGTTGCAATACAGGAGATAAGTGGGTTTTTGAAGACTTCTCTCTATGACAATAACAGTAAAAATAAAGCTGTTGCCTCCTACAATGGCCAGGTAAACAAATAGTAAAACCACAGATATGAATCCAAAGTAACTGGGTTGAAGTCCTGGAAACCCAGTGAGTATAAACTCTGTGACTTTGGTTGCATTGGAATACTGGTATGACATGACCAGCTGACACCAGTGTTCCCTGAAAACTGTCAATGGGATAAACAAAAAAACAGTATTAATATGTTGAAACATTGTCTTTCAGGGTTTTAAGATTCAAGATGCAAACAATCTTTTAAAATAAATTCTGGTACTGAAATACAGAATTATTATATATGAAGAATCATTAAGTTAATGTTGTTAGAAGTACAAAATAATTAAAATAGAAACAAATATAATAACAGATAACAAATGTAATAGAAATATAATACTGCAGTTAATTAAGCCTCTTTGTCAACTAATGGTCACATTATACTGGCTGGAAATTCTATGAATTCTGGTGAACTACGTAACCTTAATGTTTAAGAAACTTTCATTGCTTACTTAGCAGTTTGGCATAATGTATTCTGTACATAAATACTCAATTTTAGCATTATATAAATATATAAACACATATCAGACATTACATTGTATTATGCTCATATATCTGTATCATAGAAACTAAAATTTATAAAAACTGCTTGAGTGCAGATCCAGCACAAGGATACAAACTAGTATTACTAGATTAGATGTACAGTACATTTCTACTTACGGTCAGGCCATGATCTATACAAACCTCAACCCCATTTTAGGGGAATCAAATATTTCCCTTACCTGCAGAAACGCAGAGCTGCTAGAGTTATGGATCACACACACAAATGAGTCTGCAGACCTCTCTGTTTAGTACCCGGTATTTAAATGCTTTGTATTATTGCCTTACGTAATGATTGACACCTCTTATATATATTTCCATCTAAAGGGAAATGGGTCATATGAGGATTCTCTGAAGCATCAATAATTTCACCTGTAATGATGACTTTGTAAAGGCCACACTTTCTTTTCAATATAACACATTCAATATAACACATTTCCTATTTTTATGTATTTCTATTCAGTATCACAGACTTTTCAATATAATGTACAGTGTAAAAAGTGCTAGGGTTTATTCATTTACAATAAATACATAGCACAGCTTGTCACAAGCAGTTAAAACCCATATGAAATTATTTCAAGCTTTTTGTTTGTTTTGCTTGTTCACATGATAAACATTAAAAAAATTGTCATCTTCAACATTGGTTGAAGGTATGGGTATCTGGTATGGGT